CAAAATGCAAAACATCTTTAACGAAATTATTTGGGGGAGAAAGTCTTACATTACAAGTCAAATACATTCAATATACCTTCACAACCACAGGTAGAAGTTTCGAAAATTACAATGAATGTTAACTACATGTACTTGAGTGAAGTTTCTAGCCCTGGTAGAGGCTTTGGGATTCATAAAAACAATTATTTGCACATCAGTAAACTAAGTTGTAAGTTTTGTTTTCTATTGCTTTTTACATCACATACAAGTTGTTTATTTTAAAAATATACAACATAAAAAGGGTGTTCCTTATAAGTGAGTAATGCACTCTACCAGGGCACTTCCAAAAGTTTGGGGAAACAGAATGAAAAGAGAATAAAATCTTTCTATGAACTTTTTTAAGCACACTAGCATTTTAATTACATTTAAGAAATTGGTTTTGAGTAGAAGGGAAGTGTAGTCCAATTTTCCCGTTTTAAATCATGTAAAATTGCCTCCAATATATTCCTGTGAACGTTCTGATTTTAAATAATAGGTTATTGACATTAAGTAGGAAATACATTATTTACCCTTTTAGGTAACATAATCCAAAGAAAGTACTGGAGTTTTAAAAGGATAGATATGTTTAAGGCATGTATGTTAAAACAATGTTTTCTCTAAGTTGACTTCAGCATTACAAAAATAATCTCAAAAGTGAACAGACTCTTGTTTCGACTTAAATGTGGCAAAATGGAAAATGCTAGCCAAAAAGTCAGGATGTCTAACATCAACAAATCATGTAATCCTGGGCAAGTCACATTTCTTCATATCCATTTATTTTCACTTTTCTTACAAGGTAGAAATATGGCGAAAACCATTCCTGAATGACCAGAAAAAAACAATGAAGATAGAGAACCATCAGCACATCTTTAGATCGGAAGGTTTGGGCCAACTTTCAGAAGGGAGAGGTGAATTAGACTGAGAAAGAGAGGCAAGGACCCAGGAGGTGTTACTTATCGACGAGGGTTTGAAGGTGTTCTGTGGGATGCAGGAATAACCTGTCCCAGCTGAGAGGATCTGTCTGCAGTGCTCTCTGACCACACTCCCGTTCCTTCAGTCTTCCCTCATTGTACCCGATGTCTGAGCTCTCAAACCCAGCCTATGGCCAAATTTGGCATCTATCAGCCAACCCCGGTGCGTTCTAAGCACTAGACACAATCACTGTTTACACTGTACAAAGTTGGGATCTTCACCTTTCTAGGACTCTCTTGCCTTTGCCCTGAAGCAGTACTGAGAGGGTTCCGGCCACAATGATGTTCCCCCAGGTGGGATTCCTACTCACAGGACACCATCCATCAAAGTTTGTCACACCTCCTTCACTCCAAAGAGAATGGGACCGACATCCAGTTCCCCAATCTCCTTCCTAGAAGTCACTGTTCTGGAAACAAGGTTGTGCATCAACTTCTGTAAATTCAAACCAGGAGCGCCAGGCAGGCTGCACAGGGCAGGAGGGACCAGAAACTTGACGTGCTGAAGAGACACCGAGACACCCCACGACCACAGTAGCCACAGAGTGACAGTCTGCACTCAACTCACAATCCCAAATTCACCTCTGGGATCTGGGGCATGACACTAATGTCCACACGCTCACGTTACAGATGGGTGAAGTGAGTGTCCCACAGATCGGTACTAGGTTCCTGATGGCGGAGCTGGAACGTGACCTCCCCACACCTCCCAGGCTCGCTGTCTTCACATCCCCCCACCCACCCACGTTCCCGTTGCCACCTTGGACCTGCGCCCCCATCCTGGGACATCTGAAAGCGGCTTCTGCACACCTGGCAGGGCCGTCCTCTGACGGAACCGTCTGGAACGCGCAGCCCGGGCGTCCCTTCCCCGGCCCGGCCCAGGTCCGCGCTCCGCCGCTCGTCAGGCACCGCCCGCCCGAGGCCCGCGGGGCCTCTGCCCCCAAGTGCCGGGAGACCGTCCCGCTCCCCAGGGCCCCCGAGGCCCACGGGCTTCTCTTTCACTTTTGCACCCACCTTCAGAGACGTACGATCCAACCCCAGGATCTGAAGAGCAGCGTGAGGACAACGGAAGCGTCCGGAATTAGCAAACAAAAGATGGCGGGGGTGAGCGGAGCCGCACGTGCGCAGAAGAAACCCGGAAAAGCCTTTCCCATAGTCCTGCGCAGGTGTCGTCATTGCAGGCGAAACTACATTTCCCAGAAGGCAGAGCGAGCGGAGCCCTACAAGTACAGCAGGAACTTGGAGCAGCTATTTAGTGCGCCTATTCTGGTGACGTCACTGGAGGGCGAGACTACATTTCCCACAAGTCTCTGCCATCATCTTTTAGGAACCGAAGGAGATTTTATTTTCTCAGAAGGGATTTTTGCTACCAGAACAGGACGTGATGGATCAAGACTGGTCTCTTTTCACGTTGTTACCAGGTAGAATTCTGATTCTTTATTAAACCCAGGTTTGACAACCTGAGGCATTGTGAGAATAACGGAGAAATTCGATTGTGGGCCAATTACCGCGATATTAATAAGTAATTTCCCTTTTTTTAGTTGTCATATAGGTATTGCTATTACAGAACCCATGTTTATTTTTGCAGATGCATTTTAGAGGATGAAAAAGTCATGCATCTATTTTCCTTTAAGTGGTTAAACAAATGAGAAATTAACATGGTAGGTCTCTTCCAAGCCATTAGAAAATGTTTGTTCTCATCCCATAAACTAATTTGTCTTCAAAGGATTTTACTACACAGTTGGAAAAGGTTTGTCCCTCTCTCCCAGATAAAGAACTGGTTATTATTACGATCTATTGATGTGACCCTATAAATTCTAAATTTTAATCCTACAGTCATTGTAGCCAATGTGGCATGTATTTGCCACCTGAAACAGACTAATACTAACCAGACTCATAGTAACCTAGCTAACGTGAGGACTTTGTTTCTGTCTCACGTTGTGACCACCCCCTTTTCTCCTGTGTCTCCCTATATTCTTACTAGATACCACTTCCTTTGCAGCACGGGCACCTGATACAGTGTGTTTTTGATTAACAGCTCATGTACTTTTAAGATTCATATTTTGAGCCTTGTCTGTATGCAGAAGTTTTAATTGTATAAATCAGCAGGGCTGGCAATTGGTCTGTGCATGAATTCCCCCTCTTTATAAGGACATCAGTCATACTGGATTAACTAATTGCAGCTGCAATGGCAGTATTGCAAAATAACATCACATTCTGTGGTACTGTGGTTTAGGACTTTCACATATAAATTTGGGGGAAAGGGGAACACAATTTAACTCATAATGGAAACTTATCACTAACTTCAGCAGAAGCTGTGAATGATAGCACCTCCTCACTAAATGGAGTATAACAAGTCTCCTGTTGGTATGAACAGAGAGAGCCCATCACATTACTCTAGATTTCATATTGGCTACTTGTATGGGTTTGCTTGGGTCACTTCAACCTCCAGGCGCTTCTACACTTGGAAGATTCTGGTGCCACAGAGGACTTCAGTCCTGGACATGCAGGACAATGGTGGCCAGTCAGACAGTGGAGTTTCCACCTACAGTGTGGATATGCTCAGGCTGGACTTCACTGGACAGTGATTACATCAGGCATGGTGGGGTGCAGAAGTCCTGAGTGCCTCTCACCATGAATTAAACATGCCCTTGGGTCCAAGAACAGAGCCTGTCTAATTGGCTCTTTCTTGAATGGTAATCAGTGCTCTGAGGACACCTGGACCTCAGTGTGACTAAACTGGCCCTTAAGCTCTTTACCTGAATCTGAACTTGTCCACCCTTCTTCAGCCAGGTGGACCAGCATCTAATCACTCAGTGGAGACAGATGTCCAGATTTTATCTCCAAGCTAACTAGCCAGTCCCTTATATTAATTCTTAACCCTAACCTCTAACACCTAATATTTAACCCCTAACCCTTTCCTTAACACACCATTATCCTCAACTCTATCCACTGAGCCTAAGCCCTAAACCATAAATAAACCCTATTACCATAATCCTTAATGCCTAACATGTTATACATGTTACCTATCCCTAAACCCTACCACTTAACTCCAATCCCAAATCTAACCCCTAAACCCAACTCTTTCCCATGAACTGAAACCTAACCCTAACCTTACCCTAACCCTAGATCTAAACCTTGAACTCTAATAATTAGTCTTAACCCTAACCTCTAAATCTAACCCCAACAGCAAGCCTGTCCTTAACCACTAATATTAACCCTAGCACTTAACCCTACCCCAATTGTAACATTAATCTCTAACCCCAACCTATCTAACCCCTAACCACTAATCCTAACCCTACTCACTAAAACCAACCATAACTTCTAATCCTAACCCCACCCCCTAATCCTACCTCCAACCCCTATCCCTAATTCAACCCGAACCTCAACATCAACACCAACCCTGACCCTCACTCTACCTGGGTGGTGTTGGGCTCTGGGAGTGGCATCAGTTTTCTCTTTTTCCAAGGCTCACCCTAAGTTTTCCACACATGAGTCTCCTGTTGGCCCCTGCCCACCTCTTCTGTGTTCTTTCCCACCTACCTTTTGTCCTTCACCTTCACAGAACCCGTTCACGCTGCATTCTTTCTGCTCTGGCCCCAGAGCACCCCCTGTCCCGACCTGAGCATCACTGTTGTAATTATTACCATTTTCATTTTTGTCATTGTTGAACAATCATTGAACACAACCTTATGGTCAAGTTATCCTGGGTTCTGATACTGAGTGGACACCCCATTTGGGTAAATACCTCCTAAAAGTTTAATGAAAGTGAGCTGTGGCCTTGGTCCCTCAAGCTGATGTTACTTAGGATCTGGGAACAGAGTATCTAGTTAAGGAGTTAGGATTTACAACTAGCAAATGAGTAAGGAAGTACAAAGAAGACAGCTGGGCAGGACAGGATGTAACCTAAGTGATGAGGAGGACCGTAAAACAGAGTCGCAAAGCTCCAGGGACAGGAGACATTATCTTGACAAACATTCTCAAGATGTCTTTACAGGGCAAAATCCAGAACTTTCCCAGCCCTCGGAATGTGCTGAGGAGGTGAACTGTCAAGAACACAGACTGATAGGAGCCTGGTAAATGAAAAAGGAAACTACAAGTTGTGTCTTTGTTCGTGGAGATCCTGTTTCTTTGTGCTCAGAGGTGCAGCCACTCAGAACAGTCAACTGGTGACTCACGCAGCTCCTTCCCCAACCCCCAACACTTTCTTTAAAACTCCCTGCCTGTACGCATTCTCAGAGATCAGGATGTTTCTGAGCTTTAGCCACCTGGAATCTATTACTTGGTCTTGTAATTAAAGCTTAATTTCCCTCACTGCAACTCGTGCCAGTGTTCTGGCTTTAGCTGCACATCACGTGAAGTGACACAAGTGTGGTTCTATTACTCTTGCAGCTCACAGCTGGCCACATCTCAGCCCTGTGACAAGTCAGCTCACGTCAAGACCTCTTGGAGCCTCGGTGCCCTCTATGACATGGGGTCAGTGACTCTGTTCTCATGGAGGAGGTTGGGCATCCAAGCTTCCCTGACCATGTGGCCCCACCTTGTCCCACCCCAGAGAGGGGAGGCCAGCTGTGTGGGGAAGGTCCAGGCAGACACACTGGAGAAGGTGCTGGAGCACTAATTGCAGGGGGCATGTCTCAGGTCACGTGGGTGAGGACCACTTTTATTTCTCAGGGGCCCAGAAGCAGGGAGGCTGCTTTCTGGCCGCTCCTTTCAGGGTGCCCCATTCTCTGGCAGGTGCTAAAGGGACGTGGTGCCTCAGTGGCTCACAGCCAGCACCATCCCAATCCCCTCCATGTCTGTGGGCACCAACCAGGACCTCCCACACCAGGCCCAGTGCCCTGGGGTGCTGATGTGGGACGCGCCATGGGACCCAGCCCTCTGTCGCCTCCTGATGGTGCCAGCTCGGCAGGGAAGAGGGTGCTGAGCTGGTGTCCTGCAGTCCACAGCTGACCCCAAGCATTTGAGCCCATGGCATAAAGGTGACAGGGACCTCAGCAACGCTGCAGGAAGCTCCTTCCCATGCTGCATCTCTTGGAGGGATGGTCGGGAGGGCAGCTCTGCCATCCTTCTGCTGAGGACAGGGGCTGCTGCCAGCAGGGGCCCCAGTGGCCTCAGGCATGTCGCAGGTGGGTCATCCACCTTCCCCGGCTTTGCACTGGTTGCTGCCACCCACCAGGCACAGACACCGCAGCCTCCTGCGTGGCCTCTGGGCAGCTGTACAGACTGCACAGTGCTGTGGGAGGACCTGGAGGCACTAGGGGGAGGTCACATCACAGCGCAGGCCACTGCAGCAGTGCCACTGTGCCTCCTCCTGCCCCAGAGGAATCAAGAAGCACTTCTTCCTCCTGCAAATGTGGACGGGCCAGTAGAAGGGGCAGAAGATGGTGGCATGGAAGGACACCCGGCTGCCACAGCTCCTGCTTTATGCCTGGTGGGGCTGCTGCGGGCTTCGCTGTTTCTGAGCAGCTGATAGAGCTCAGCAGCCCCCAGGCCTTGGAGTGGAGGGGACCCTCACTCATGCGGGACATGCACCCAGCTCCAACACCACGGCCCAGCAGCCTCTCTTTTCCTAATGACCTTGGCATGACAGCCTGGTGAGTGGCCATTCCTCCCACCCCACCCCTCAGCGGGGCCCCATGGGGACAGAGAGGTCACCGTCCATGTCCAGAGGGTCCCAGATGTCAGTCAGTCAAATGAGAAGTACATGGGCAGGTGAACTCATCCTCTGCTGCAGAGTCCCTGTGGAGTGGCACGAGGCTGTGGCAGGAGTGGCAGGAGCCACCTCCCTGCACCCCACCCTCACTGATGCTCCAGGTGAGATACTGAGAGTCCCTGGAATGATGTGCATGGGGCCACCTTAGACCCCAGCCCTGGTGGAGCTGCCAGATGACACAGCCCTTTGAGGGACCCAAGATGAGCCCCATCCAAATTGACCACAGAATCACAAGCAAATGAGATGGCTTTGGGGTGGCTTGTGACAGCAGAGATGACCCATATGGGTGGCAGCCCCTTCGTGCACCCTCCTGGGATTTGGCCTCTGGCCAAGGTGGGCGCTCTAAGGTATAGTCAATATCATCCTCGTCACTTAATTGTGGGCGTCCTTCCCCTTTTCACTGACACCAGTGAACTCAACTCTGCCTAGTGTATGGCAGGCTGCAGGCCCTGCCATAAGGGCCACCCCTGTCCCTCCCTCCCCACAACCCCACTAATGGGCACTAAACACAGGAGCCTATCAAACCAGCCCCAGGAATGGCACAGCTCTGCTTTCCCTGCAGAAGTGGGGTGGGGAGGTGTAGAGCTAGGGCTAGGGTCTGGAGCTCACAGACACCTCGAGCCCATTCACAAACCCTTCACATGCAGGTCTATGAGCTAGGTAACTGACAAAATAGTCCTTGGAGCCTTCATTGAAGTAGGAATAGTCTTTATTCAGCACACACATGTCTAGGAGCTAGGCAGTCCAAAGAGAAACTCAGAAACTCAACTGTTACCAGCAAAGTCCAAAGAAAAACTGAAACTGAGCAACTGCCAGCAGAGTAAACATGCTCTATTTTAAGACATGAGCTCTCTGGCCAGCCAGCTTGCTTCACAAACTGAAGAACACACAATAGCAATTAACTAGAAAGATACATGGGTACACATGCGCACTAACTCCACCCACACACAACTTGTTTACAAGAAATGTCGAGGGAGCCTGATGAAATCATCCTATTCCCCCCCCTCCCCCAGGAGGAGGCACCTATCCTGGAGCGACTGAAGCAGTGAGATGGAGGGTGAAGAGGAGCCATCAAGGACAAGGGGCACACAAGGTAGAGTTTGGTGACCTCACCATCTATGCCCCTCACAGCAGCCAGCACCCTGAAGACATTGTGAGAGTTGCCTTCCCAAGGGATGATGTACCAGTCATGCTGAGGCAGGTTCTGTTGATTAAAATGATTGGAGACGTGAAGGAAGACACAGCAGACAAGATGCAGGTGAAGAGCGGGGGGCTACTGCTCTCTCAGGCAAGTAGCACCAACCCAGCTGACTCAGCCGCTGTTACAGCTTTTATTACATGTAGCAAGCTAGTGCATGCAAGATAAGCATTAATGCATAAATTCTGTTATACTTTTCTCAAGAGCAGAAGGCTGTTACCTCCCTTCTCAAGCACTTGGTTATCTATATTGTGTCTCCTGGGAACATCCCAAGAAAGTGTTCTCATGACTTCAAGCGTTGTCAAGGATTGTTTGCAATCCTTGACATTTCTTGGTTAACTCGTTTGTGAGTTCGCCAAGTGAACACGTCCTTGGGTGCTGACCACAGAAGTCCATTAACCATTTCCTTCAGGTTCTCTCAAGCTGATCACAATTCCTAATGAGAAAAACAGCTTCCTCTGCAGGCAGCCAGGCCGCCTCCATCAGGAAGGCCTCTGGGCTCCTTCAGCTCTAGGGAAGGTGGTGCTGAGCCCACGCCACCATCCACCTGCAGCAGTGCGGGATCTGTGGGGACAGCCCGGGGAAGAGCAGCCCTGGCTGTCCCTCTCCAGCAGCTATGGCATCTCAGCAACCATATTCTCTAGGGCTCACTCCAAGTTGGTGCATGAGCACTGGACGTGCCAGCTCTGGGTGGCATCGGGCATCTGTGGCTCACTTCCATGGCCACTCACATCCTGCAGCCTCCCATGGTGCCTCAAGTGAGCAGCAGCTGTGGCCTGGGCCTGGGCCTGTGCCCAGCCCTTCCCACTGTGCCTTGACACCATCCACCCGCTGAGGCTGAGGCAGTGATGAGCTGTCCCCTCCCCAAACCACAGGGGCTGGGGGATGGGGGTGGGATGAAGGTGGGCTGAGGAAGGGACAGAAGGACCAGAGCTGGGTCCCGGGCACGGTGGGGTGTGAAGGAGGTGTTGAAGCTTAGAGGGGATGATGGCAGCATCAAGTGTTGGTGGCTTCTGGAGGGGACCGTGGGAACTTAGGGGGATGGTGCAGTGACATTAGCCTGGATCCACAGGTCAGGGCTGGGGAAGGGGCGACTCAGGCTGTGCTTCCAATAAATGCTTTGTCAGAAGACGGTGCACTGCTGGAAGGCCAGGTGTGTGCTACAAAAGCTGGCTCCAAATCTTCACGAACAGGGTGGTCAAGTCCAAGATGGTGGAGGGGACGGAGGTGTGCAGTGAGGTCCCATTCCAGCTCTGCCATCAAGGAGCCTGTTAGTAATGTATATGAGACTCAGTTTGCCCATCTGTAACATGAGCATATTAGGAATACTAGGAAATGCCCCAAATTCCCAGAGAAGTGACTGTGCAGTGCATGCAGACTGAGAGTTGTCATGTGGCAGCTGTATCTGTGGGTGTCGGTTTCTCTCCGGCAGTGAAGGTTCTGTTTTCCTCCTCTAGTTTATAGCATGCTTAGCACCCCTGATTTGACATTTCAGACATGTATGAAGGCCTTGTTTCCAGGGACAGTGTGTTCTATGAAACAGACTGGGGTCCTGGATGACGGCCCCATTTGCTTTGGAGCAGTCATTCTTATGCAGTTTGAAGGGGGACCCTGTGGGTAGGAATTCCACCCGAGAAAACATCTCTCTGAGCTGAGCCCTCTCACCAGCCCTCAGAGCAGATGAAGAACTGCAGAGAGGTGAAGATCGTATCTTCTCATGGCCCAAGTAACGATTGAGCCTCCTGCCTAGAGTGAGCAGGACGTGAGTGTGACTGCCTTCTCCAGAAGCTGCCAGAGACTGGGTCATATTGGAACATTTGGACTAACTTTTAGAAGGGAGATGTGAGTTGGTTGAGGGATAGACAAGGGCCTAGAAAACGCGGTTCACTGGAGGGGTCTTCAGGGTGTGGTCTGAGATGGAGAAATAACATGTCACAGCTGAGAAGACGTGACTGCCTTGCTCCCTAGCACACTCCCATCACCTCACTATACCCTCATTTTTTTCTAGAATTGGGGCTCTCGCAAACCTACTCTGGCACCACGTTTTGTATCTAGAGATGTGCTGATGCTTCCTCTGTCCTGGTAGTTCTTCCAGGCAGTTCAGGAAGGGTTTGCCAGGGTCTTTCTGCTGCATAAGAAACATTAATAAATAAATAAACAGTTGGAGGAGTGAGTTGCTCAAGGTCACGTGATTTGTAGATGTCAGGCATCCTGACTTTTTGACTAGTGTTATCTACTTTTACACAATTAAGTAAAAACTCATGTTTGTTTTTGAGATCAATTTGAAAAACTGCAGTCAACTTAGAACAAACATAGTTTTACAAAACTTTTCCTTGAACATTTCTATTTTTCCCCAGTGCTTTCTGTGGATTGTATGAGCTCATGGGGTTAATAATACAAGTTTTT